TACCGAAAAATAACAAAAGATAAAAATTATTTATTTTCTTCTCATAGAGCTCTGAGAATTTTTCCAGAATTTTTTAATTAATTTCTTACTACTGAATTTTTTTCATTTTCTTGAAGTACTAAAAAGTTTATAAAAAATTATGAAAAATTTTTCAGAGCTCTATGAGAAAAAAAATAAACAATTTTTATCTCTTGCTATTTTTCGGTAAAGTTGATAGAATTCGAGTAAAAAAATATTGAAACCAATAATTTTGTAGATATTTCCGTAAAAATCTTAGAAAATAGAGATCGTATAGAAAATTTTTTCAAACAAAAGTTGTTAGCTTCTTTACGTGCAATAAAGCTCCGTAATAAAAAAAATAGATGTCTCTATTTAAAAAGCAAAGTTGACTTTCGAGTAACCTTCACAATGGCCTTCAAGGTCAAAGTCAAAGTCACCCTCACTTGTCTCCCTCTAAATTCGACAACTTTTGTCTGAAACATTTTTGCTGAATATGCTTGGCTGAAGAATTATCAGGGTGCGTAATTTAAAATGGGACACCCTGTATAAGTTGACAAAAAATGATTAAAATATAACATCCCAGGAAGAAATGGTTTATATAACACAATATAATAACATATAAACACTAATAACAATATAACACATATAAATACATAATAATATAATAATAAACATATAATATATAAACACATACTTGTAATATAACATAACACAACATATAAATAACACATTTTAATTTATTTTATTTAATAATTATAAATGAATATTTTTGCTCCAACTTTGTCGTTTCTATCATCTCTACCGCTTCTTTCGCCTCTTCCGCCTCTTTCGTCTCTTCCACCTCTTTCGACTCTTCCGCCTCTTCTGCCTCTTCCGCTTCTTCCGCCTTTCTCACCTCTACCGCCTCTTCCAAAAGAAAGTTGTTTTCCTCTATACTTGTACCAACGAGCTCTTGCTCTTCTAGCATCTATTATATATAAATATGAAAATTAAATAAAATTAAATTAAATATAACCTAATAATTTCATATATATATATATATATATATATATATATATATATATATATATATATATATATATATATATATATATATATAT